GTTGTGGTACACAGTACATCATGCGACTCTGCCTAAGTGTGAAGTGCCATTCTGGGTCTCACACTACTTTGGAACTGGTTTAAAGATAGGGATAAACCTCACCTCCAACAGCCGTGCTTCACTCCTGCCCAAGGCTCTGCCTCTTGCAATTACAGCAGATTTATCAGTATCCTTAGCTGCCGTGGAGTGTAATCACTGAGTGCATATGAGACTTGCACATGTCAATTTTATTAATTCCATGCATATATCAAGTTACTCATCTCCTCTTGCCCTATTGGAAGGGGCTATCTCAAATGAGCCTGTGGAAGGGGGGGGAATAGTGAGGGAAATAATAGGGCATTAAATAGCAACAAAACCCAAATCAAATAAGAGCACACTAGAAATTCTAAGGAAAACACTAGGAAAGGAAGGGGGGAATATATCCTCCCTGGTACCCCAGCTAGGTTTTTTCTTCTCAGATAGATATTTCATGATCAGCTTAAGCCAATTTAAGTAGCATCTGCAACCAAAGAAATACTCTTCAACATGACCATCTGCATATCTCACCAGCCTTCAGTGCTGCTTGCCTCGCCAAGTGAAACAATACAAGGAGCTGATCCCTGCGAAACCCTTATTTTGACAGGGGACTGGGTTAGTTTTCAGTGGGGCCAGCTCCCGAGCAGCCAAATGACTGTTAGCACTGGTGCTTCTTAGGCAGTAGAAGTATACAGCTGGTGGTGACGGAAGGGAGGAGGCATGACAGCTCCTTTTAGCAGCTTAGACTCATCATGAAGATGCTATTTCAAAGTGCATGGCTAAACTCTGTTCTCTGCTGCAAGCCTATCATGAAAGGTGATGTTAAAGTTTTTAAGGGGGAAAAGCAAGTGGGTGACTTGTCAGCAGCTTTGCAGAAGATGATTTAGAGGCACAGAAACTGAAAGAAGCAGATTGACTTCTTCTTCCCAGAGCCTAAGGTAATGGAGTTGAAGGGAACTCACAAGGCTTGTAAAGAAAGCTTAAGGTTTATATAAAATAAAAACTTATGAAATAGAGTAACTGATCAGATATGTGCAATCATGGGAAAGGACCAAAAGAGAATGTTCTTGAAGTGGAATCTGAGATATTTTCTAATTAGGGTCACCTGTGTTTAAGCTTTCATTCATGTTCAGCACAATAACTTCAATAAGTTCCAGCTGAAGACAAGGGCTGCAGGGGGGCAGGAGGAAGACGTGAATCTTCTACCTCTGCTGCTTCTTGAAAATCCAAAATTTTTACTTAGTGCAGCTCTGCTCTATAAAGGGTTTGTGTAAATGAACAGCAGGGCTCAGTTTCTTAGAAACTGTAGATCAGGGATACAGAGCTTACCTTTCCTTCATATTTTCAGCCTCACAAATTCAATTTGGGCTCTGAGTATTTGGATGGACTCTCTCCAAGTCATCCCTCCTCACCAGGATAAAGGAACTGCAGGCCAAATTTTGCTCACAGAGCACCTGTGCCATCCATATGCTTGAATAAGTGTAGCTATATAATGAACAGCTTTTCTGGGAAATGTACAGTAGGTTCCAGGTCCCTCTCTCTGATACTGGATATACACAAGCAGCAGGTCTGTTACATAAGAAAAGGCCAGATTATACAAACCATTTTCCATTTTCAAAGAGATTCAAACTGCCTTTCCAGTTCAGCTCAGGTTGTTCACTCAGGTCACAAGTGTTTATGGGCAGACCTGCTCTCTCCAGTCAAGCTCCTGGCAACTGTAGAGGCAGATAGACATCCCTTTTGGATTGTGGAGACATCAGGGAAAATAGCGTTTTTCTTTTTTTCAGAAAAAGGCTGTAATTTTGTTGTTGACAGAAAGTCAAGACCTTTACAAAAAAGTTTTATAGAATTTAGTAAGCTTGAAAGTTTATAGAGAGAGTAGTCTTCAAACTAGTCAGAATTCACAGAGAATGAGAGTCTATCTACAAGTTTCTAGAGACCAGGTTATGGAATTATACAGCAGCATATAATTCTCTATCTCATTCCACAGAGGTTAGAATACTCTACAGGTAGGTTTGATTTTCCTGTTGAACCCCATAGAACTGTAACATCAGTTTTTTTCACACTTTTTCCCACCTAGGTAATTCCCTGTTACTGCCTTGCATGGAAATAATTAATATCTTTTAGACATCTATCAGACATCTTAGTAAATGTATCACAGGTCCACGTTAAAAGAAAAAGAAGCCCTGGACAAGTTGACCCACTTGTCCCAATCCTGTAAACACGGAGGGATCATTCAAAGCTACTCTGAAAGTTACCATAAACATCCAGACTGGTCCGAGAGAGGCACATGGGAATAAAATGGTTTGGAGAAAAAAGCAACAAGCCACCCAAATCTCCCACAAAGGAACATAACTGACCATTTTTCCCTGAAGGCTTTTTTAAAAAAAGAAATAAAAGGTTAACACTTGTTAGTCATCCGCTGAGGTACTCTCGGCACTTGCCCCATCTCCCTGTTCTGGCTAGTGTGATTTCCTAGGCCCTGCTCCATGGCTAGACCCAAACCAGTTCAGGACAATGAGCTAGCACTGGCCCTGAAAGACCTGTAGAAGATCATCTTTATCAAACCCTCCTGCCCAGGGGGAGGTTAGCACCTGAATGTGTAAACATCTTTAAAGAGATTTGAAAGGTCATCATTCAGGAGAATAGCTACCTCCTTAGAGAGATGTAAGCAAGCCCAAGCAAATGGGTAAAAAAAGGTGGTCACAAAAACTTTTATCTCTTACCTACACCAAATTACCAGTCTTAAATAACCCAAAGGTCTTTCCTTTTAGAGGTGCAATGGAGAGGGAAGACAGATCCACTTGAAGTGGACTTGGCTGGAAAGACTTGGGCATTCATAGAGGAGACCCTCTTCATGCAACTGCCTGTGTAAGTGGGAGAAAGCTGAGTGGGGTAAAGTTCTACCTGAGAGTCCTATTCGTACTTTTCGTAATTCCTGGACATCATCTGCTTTGCTTGCCAGAAGCTGTGTGAACTTTGGCACTTGATATTACTTCAGTCACATTTTATTCTCCTCAGACATTCTTCCCTGCAAATATGCTGTGTCTAAACCTGACTCGGGGAAAAAAGCACGTATCCAAAAAATACACCAAGTCATAATCCTGTCATCCAAAAAATACACCAAGCCTGAAGAGAAGGCAAAGAGACAAATATATCATGAATTAAACAGAGTAGGTATGAGTGAGAGTAAGTGAGAAAGAGTTGCCCCTGGGACAGTATGGCAGTGCCCAGGCAAATTCCTTTCTCTAGCTGATCAGATCTAGCATCTGATCTAAACCCATGCTGTGCTGATGCTTCCTTGCAAGAGGTATTGCAATTAAAACTCAGCACTTGGGCAATCTCTGCTGGTTCTGTTCAGTCCTCTAGCAAAATCGATAGCCTTGTACATTCTTTTCTTTTGCTTTTGCTCCCGTTTATTTTCTGGTGAGACCTTGAGAGGAGACAGTTTGTTCAATTTCCTTTCAAAACCCCTCCCTGCCAAAAGGAGGGCTGTAGAAACATGGCAAGGAATTGCAAGAGACCAAATTCCCCCTAGTCAACGAGCTGTATTTTTTAACAACAACAAAAAAAAGAGAACCTGTACAAATAGGGAAAACTCCTGAAATCAGCTTTCTCCACTCCTAAAAAAGACATGGGAGGGAAAAAGAAACAGAACAAGTAATGAGCATTATTTACATTGCTTGGGGGTAGGAAAACAAAAGAGGAAAATATTGGCAGGAAGAACAAATAAATAGGAGGAGAAAACTTCCTCTCACCCCTTTTCCTCCAGCTACATTTGGTACTGCAGAAGGAGTGGCAGAAATGGGAAAGATGCAGTATTTCTGTTAAGTGGTGACTGGAGTACAGGCCTTTCCCATATTAACTGCTTTGTTAGGAACACTTACCCAGCAATATAAAAAGGTAAAAAAAAAGCAAAAACTGAAAACTCCGATGTAAACTGGATATCTGTGATCTCATAGCTGTACACACTGTTCCTGGACCTGCTGCCTGCTCTCTGGGTCTCCCCATACTGCTGGCAAGGAAAAGACACAAGGATACTGCAGCAGCACCAAGACCGACATGTTCTCAAGCCCCCTGCAAGAGTCAGCTTTTCATGACTGTCTCTGTAGCTGAAAATGTCCTTTCCACTGGCATCTGGTGCCCAGTGCCAAATGGACACCACTCTTGCCAGCTCCTGGTAAGGTAGAAATGTCAAAGAAAGAAACAAATAAATGAAAGATTAGAAAGAGATCAAAGCATGAATATCTGAGAGCAGGGTTAGAGTCGTATCTGCATCCATTCTTCCATGCCACAGTAGAGCCATGCCCCCAGAGCCACACCATCTGTACTGCAGCACAGCCCATGCCCATGGACAGCAGTTTGTATCCATCGAGCCTACAATTTCATATCAAGGTGCTATTGAGGATCTGGTTATACAGCGAATCTTTCATCTCCATACAGTCTGTATTGAGTACAGCCTTATCCTCTGTATAAGCCACAATCACAATACTAGTGCAATCTATATTTGTAAAGCCGTATCTTCATTTTAAAACAGTTTATATTCATATATTCTCTCAAAGGGGACCATGTCCACAGAGCAACATCCATCCTGCCAAGATGGATTTTAGCCACATAGCTGCTCCCTATACCAAGCCTGTTTTATCAGCTACATCCCCAGTACCAGAAGAGTTTGTATTCACAGCCAAGACTTTGTATTAAAAAGATTTAGAAATGATTTACCAATCCAGATCTCTCCAAGCACCTCACATGTGTTGCCCAGAGCAATGAAAATCAAAAACATGTGTCCATGGTGGAGGGGAAGAAGAGGTCTTCATGTGTCAATCAATTTGAGATTTTCCTCTTGTTTAAAAAAATAATTAAATGTCAGGAATGGAAGGTGTGTCTGCTCGGAAGTATGGGGAGCTGGAGAGAAGAATCCCTGTCATTTCATTCCTTGCCACCCCTTTCATTGTTCAGTAGTGATGAGAACTTCACAGAAAGCATCAGTTGTTTGTTTCTCCGTCTTCCTCATCAAAGGACTGCACCCCAGAGGAGGTGACATCTGAGACTTTGCGGCTCAGTGCAGCATGTTCCATCTCCTCTCGAGGAGACAGTGATTCCAGGTCCCGGCACACTGCATCATCCTCCTCTGGAGATGGCTTCTTGTTTATGAGAGGAGCCTTCTCCAGCCGTGGGTTCCCTTCATCCTCAATGTGGTCCTCCATGTATGTGCTGGACTCAGCCCCACCCCCACCATGAGCAGTCTGCAGTGGCCACACGTGGACCAGCCCTGTGCTCTGGATGAAGTTCTGCTCCTGACGCTGTTGCTGCAGCTGTTGCTGCTGGAGAAGGCTGCTCTGAATCAAAATGCTTTCCTGAAGGTTTGTCTGGGACTCATCAAAATTCTGGCCTAAGTAGGAGCCAGTTGCTGGGGAAGCAATGAGGGACTGGTCACTGGTCTCCCAGGCATCGGAGGAACCTAAGCAATACATGCCCTGTGAGACGTAGGAATGAGGCCAGCTGTCATACTGTGTCTGGGCCATATGCTCTGCAAGTAAAGGAGGGAAACAACATACAGTTAGACACCTTCTCTAGGCCAAGCTAGCTCATTCAGATAGCTTGTGTGCCTGTGCATGGCACTGTGCTGTACAGGGTAGATAAATCCTTTAGAGGGAAGGAGGGTGAAGACAAAAGGCAGTTCTAGGCAGTAGGCAGATGGACTTGATTGTACCCACAACTGACTGCAAGAGCTGATAGCTTTCCACAGTTGTGCCCAAAAAAAGGCAAAGGAACTGGGCTTTGGAGCCTCCCTGTTAAGATTAGATTCCTTGGACAGCTCCACAAATAGGTGATGCCTCTGCTAGATCCTAAGCCCCTAAATTGAGGCTACAGAATAAAACAGGGTTAGAGGGAAAGACAGCAACATGACAAGAGCAGAAAAGGGATGTTTCAAGATTAGCAAGAGGCACTGGAGCTCACCTTGGCTCTCCATTAGCTCCTGATAGTTCTCAGAGTAGTTGCCTGCTGGGTTCTCTTGATTTGAGTTTACGCTCACATCCTCACCATCCATGGAGGACCAGGCCATGAGAGTTGCCTCAGAAATAGCAAATTGCTCCATCACTCCTGTGCCAAAGGAGACAGGGAGGGGAAGCAGGGATGTGTGAAAGTCTCCACTTCTCACCACCCTCTTTAACCTCATCTGTTGGTCACACTGTCCTACTCTTCTCCTATCTCAGAAACACCCATTACCCACAGTTGGCCCTCACCCTCTCCACTTTGCATTCCATTGGCAATACTCCAACCACAGTCTCTCATCTCCTTTGGCCATCTGAACCACACTCAGAGCTCTCCTGAATGTGTTTTGGAGGTTCCTGCACTTTGGTCTCTCAGGGATTCTGCTCTACGACATCCCAACCAATCCAATCCACATGCCAAAAAGTTAGTGCTACCTGCAAGGAACCGGGCCTCCTTTTCACCATCACTCAGGTCTGAGTAGGCATCAGCGTCTTTGCGTGCTGTCTCATGCGTGTGCTGCTGCTGCTGGCTGCTACCTTTGCCCCAGCCTTGCCATTCAATCATGTGAGCCACACGGCCTTGACCCATAGCCGTTGGCTTTGTGACATGGTCCTTCATGCTGCGAGATATCCCTAAGGGGCCAGACATTAGAAAACAAGGAGGGGCTATTACACAGCTCCAGGGTTGTCTGCCATGCTGTTTACCTCTCTTGGAAGTGGTTCTCCTCTCCTTCCCTGATGGGATTCAGTCTTTGGGTTGGGTGTCTCCCACCTTTCACTGTATCACTCTCCAGGAGAGTTTCTCCATCTTTCCTTGGACTGGCTCTCAAAAGGGGGAAAAAGGGAAACCCCAAATATGAAAGACCATTCCTTCCATTTAGGACAGACTTGGGCATGAAGGATGAAGCCTGGAAGTGAACAAACTAGGAAATAGAAAATGTGGTTAAACCCAAGACTGTTTGAGGGAAAGAAGTTCAGGATGTCTGAACTGGGGTGCATGGTGAGAAGCCAACAGGAGTAAGACAAATCTGTTCCTTGAAAGGGCAACAGCTAAGAGATTTCTGTATCTAGAACCATGGTGGTGGAGAATCCTCTAAGGCCTCAAAAAGGCAAGAGTCAGAAAGGAGCAGTTGGGAGAGCAACAGGGAGATACGGGAAGAGGCACAAAGGCCTGTGGAGAGAAGCTGCCAAGGATAAATCCAAATTTTGAGGACCTCACCAGAGAAAGATGATTTAGCCAAAGCCCCAATCCCATAAGCATTGGAGTTGCGTTTCAGCTTGGGGAGGATGGAGGTCGTATCTTCCATGGAGAGCTGAAAAGAGAGAGCATATGAAGAAATTATATACAGGAAGGAGAAAAGGATTGAAGTGAAAAATCAGTATAAGGATTCCAGAAGGTAGGGGAAAGTTGAAGAGCAGAAGCAAGCAACAAGAAAAAGAACAAAAGAAGGGAAGGAAAAATTACAGTCTATTTAACCAGGACTGGATATTGCATAGCATTGGGACTGAGTGAGGCAAAATCAGTGGGAGAGGCAGAAGCAGGCTGTGAGAAGCCTCCCTTTGGCTGCTGCCAGTCCTCCACAGACAAGCTGCACTGTTCCCAACACTTTGTTAGAGATGCAAGACATGGCTGTTGGACAATTCAGAGAGTTTACAATGGGGAGCTAAGAATGCAATAGGCAAGACACAGTAATGCATCATACTACTGATATTAACTTTTATGTTACTCTTGGTTTTCATTTCTTCTCATATGGTCTTAATAAAATGAACATGACTGTATCTGTCATGTGTCCTGTTTCAAGCACCTAAAACTGCCTGTAAAAAAATGAGGTCTACAGTTCTGCTTAATTCCCTTTTACTCTCTTCTCTATGTTCATCCTCAGTCCCTGAATAACAAGGACAGGAAACTATTGGGACAGGCAGCAGTCACAAACATCATCAACACAATTCCTCAAGATGAATTCATCAGGCTTCTTCAGAGATGCCAGGCATTGCATATGAGGCTTAATTTTCACAAGGGCTAAACAAGCATTGCTTCTGCTCTTCATTTCAACCTCTCTGAAAATCAAGCCCAGCATGTTTCAAACACAAAGATATTCACAAGTAGTGACTATGACACTGGAGGTTTTAAATCCCGACATGAAGCAAGCATTTAGTCATAGGCACAAACCTCACAAAAGGTGAGAGGAGCAATAACTAGGAGTCAAACAGCTGGAGATGAAGGAAGGCATTGTAAAGATGTTGAACTGCATATAATTCCAGTCAATTGCCAAAATATGAGAGGTGAGTTTCTCTGGAAACTGAGAGTAAATGCAGCAGCTAAGGCATCCTGTAACTTTGGAGCCAGGAATGTCTGTATGTAACATGGGAGGTGAAGAAATCAGAAAGTGGGAGAATAGTAAAAAGTGAAAGGTGTAGCTGAGAACACAGCCCTTGTTCCATGATGCATGTCCTTTGGTGATGAAGTTGGTTGAAGAATGTCCACCTATGCCCCACTGGTCATCCCTGCATGGGCACTGCTGTTCAGTAACCATTCATTTGTTTCAAGACAATGCAATGGGCAATGGTCCAGAAAAGAAAGTAAACTGCAGAACGTCTCTACCACTAAAAGGTTGGACAGCTATGACATGAAGGCAGGAATGAATGGGAAGGGAAGGAAAATCATGAGCCAGCTTTGATACCAAAGCTCTATGGAATTACAGAGAAAGACCTGCATTATGAAAGAGCTCCATGGATTCAGAATGGGTTGGAAAATGGGAAATGGCAAATAAGGAAACTGCCTCCTGCTATCTTTAAGGAAACATGACTTTGTGTACCTTGCTTTCTGCTAGACAGGAGTGGAGTGAGGAAAAACCTGACAGATTTCTTCTAGACAGTTGCTGCATGCATCATAATTTTCCTGCACAATTTATTTTTCTAACTGAGCCTAGGCAAACAATCCCAAGCCGTAAGTGCCACAATGAAAGAGATGTCAGTAGGGCAAGGTTTAGTTAAAAATATAAGTCCCTTTGATATTCAGTGGCCCAAGTAGTTTCAAACCACAGAGAACCAGAAAATGATAGCCATTTAAAAGTTTTGTAAGCATCTGAAATTTGAAAATGCTTCTACTACCAAAAATGCAGCTTCTTATCCTACCTTTCCAAGTGTATAAAACTATCAAAGCTAATTTATGTGAAGTCATTTTTTAACCCCCAGAAAAAACAGTTTGGTAGCACTAATATGCATTATTCCCCTTTCAGGATGCTGGTTTTACACTAGTGAAAAAGAAAGTAATAAAATAATACATCCTCATGGCATAACTATTAAGAGCAACAAGAAACATGTGTTATTAAAATCTTTGCTTGTTTCTTCTTCCACTTGTTAAATGAAATTAACTGGTGCTGACCATCTCCCCCAGAGAACATTAAGAATTCTTTTGCTTCTGTATGCAACTGAAAATGAGGGATACATTTCTCCCAAAGTCCTGGAGAAGATCAAATTTTGCTCTAATCAAAGATTACTGGGGTTTTTTAAACATGCTGGACAGACACCTTTTTTATCTAATAGTGCCCAGAAATCTCAAAAAGAGAACATATGACACACCTTTGTCCCAAAGAGGACAAGGCCAATTTAATAGCCACCTGCAGATCTAAATACCTGCCAAACAGCAAAAGACCCAGAAACAAACAAAAATTCATCACCATCCTCTGAATCTTAGATAATTTCCAGATTTTCAGTGGCACTAAAGACTTTCAGTCATGTTTTCATTCTGGTCTCCACTATATCCAATGACAGACAAACCCTGGTCTTCCTGTGACTAGAAATCTCAACAGTGGTGTGGTGCATACTCACATTGATACCATCCCAGGAGAAATCTGTCCGTGTTTGCTAAAGAAAGCAAAGAAGGACACCATGTTAGTGTAACAAACAAGTTGCAAACAGCCATGCATGTCTCTAGTAGTTTGTCATAATCAACAGCCACTACTTCATCTGATGTATTAAAAAAACTTGTGTCTTTCAAGCTGGTTTCATTCCCTGCTGTTGATCGTGGTGTCTGTAGGTATCACGATGTTTGAAGGTACAATAGCGAATAGGATAATAGAGAGAGAGAAAACCAAACACCTTTTCATAAGGCTCCCCTTCTAACAGCTCTGGGCTAAATGTTGCAATGCTGGTGCCCCTGCATGAGAGTTGCACCGCTTTGAGGCTAACACAAGGAGGAGCTACACTACCTATGTATTTTGAGTATAATACAGCAAGTTACAGAATTGTTTTCTGCTGAAATTATTTTCTCCTGTAGTCTTCCAGTTTGTCCATTCTGACCTACTTTCCCCTTGCAAACCAGATCCGTTTCCCATATGAGCCATTACAGTACCAATTCATAGTGCATTTCCTCCAGCTGGGAGGACTCACATCTTGGGTTTGGGATGTGGACACTGAGGAAAACGTAGATGAATCAGTTACACCCATGGTATTCATTCACATAAATCAAAATGTTCACTGAGGTATAGTTTATGCTCATTGACTTTTAGATCTGCATTTGATTTAACTGGATTTTCCATACAAGGGTTGGGCCCCACAATTTTTGCCAGGATTCCATGAAACTCCAAGTTTCTTGGAGCTACATTCCAAGCCAGCAAGGTATAATAAGGAAGTAAAAATACCTATATATTAGCACTTTGTAAGGTTTTTCAAATTGTTAATTTTATTTGTGAACATTATTTGTGATTCCTCAATAATTATGTGCTTAAAAAAACTTATCTTTTTATTAATCATGACTGCGCTTCCTGAACCTTACAGAGCTTAAAATTCAGGTACCTAGGATTGCAGAAGCTGCAATAATTCAGAACAGCAAATGAACCAGCCCTTGAGATACTGCATGGTAAATCAATTGGCAGCAAGTTACTAGTAGATGCATCCCTAAAAATCAAAATGGAGATAAATGTGTTTCTTCAAAAGGTGTTATTGCTGTACTGCAGAAGCTGGGACAGACACAGTGTCGGACATTTCAATGAATCCATTATTCAAGGAATACAGACCTACAGGCTTTTCAGAACTGCCACAGTTTTTTTATGTTCTGTTCCACTCCAGTCATGAGTGGTCACTTTCATTTGCAAATTTGTACTCACTATGGATATTCTGAAGGGAGTGTTTCAACTCTGTTCAGTGCAAGCCAAACTGCACAGATACGAAAGTCTGATCCTCAGGTGCACACTGACATTCTGGTCCTCTCCCAGACAATGCCCCAGTGAAGCACAACACCCATTTCTGAACTCAGAACGAATTTAAACTTTTTGATCCTCCTGTGTAAGTGGGTCTGGGACAGGCACTCACCTCAGTGGAAGGTCGATGGAAGCTGCTGCCATGCAGTGAACTGGTGCTGTCCATATTAATTTGGTCCACATCTTTCAGTCCCTTCCAGTCTACTGCAATCACCTCGTTTCCTGTGGGAACACATCTAGTCAGGCTTCTGAATGCCACTACAATTTGTTCTAGTAGTCGTAAGCTAAGTCAGCTCAGTGTACAGGAGAATCACTGAGTTAAAGGCCACAATAACCTTAAATCAGACTTTCCTATCCTTAAATCAGGCTTTCTGATCCACTAGTATCAGTCAACCTGTACATCATCAACTATTATACTTCACACAGTTATCTCTAGATGAAAACCAGCAATTCACGTTTTTCTCAAGCATAGTGTATGCTTGGCTAAAGCACTGCTCCCCAGAAAGAAAGCAGCTAGTCATGATGTGTGACTGAGGAAGAACCAATTCTTTTGATACCCTGTTCCAATATTAAACCATCATCACTTAAAAAAGGCATTTCTCCTTTATAATTTGAATTGGTCTGACATCAGCTTGGAGCTGCTGGTGCCCTTGCTCTGCCATTCTCAGCAAGATTAAAGACCTTTTTAATACCTGCCATTACATTTCAGGAAAGTTATTCATACACTTGCTTTTCTTCTTGACAAACTAAACAGACTGAGATCTTTAGGTTTCTTCCTGTAGAGCATTTTTCCAGCCCCTTTAATGAATCTGTGTCTCTTTTTAAAAGACATCTCAAATTGTTCAGTTCTTCCAAATGTGGACATAAAGGCATACACAGTAATGCTCTCACCTGTTCACCGAGTTAGAACTTACTTGCTGCTCCTTTTCACATTAACCCATTGTGCCATAACCTCACAGTAACGTCTCACATTCAGCTGTTTGTTCATTCAGATCCCTGTGCACTTTGCACAGCTTTCTGGGATAGTCACCCATTCAAACGCAGAGTCTGTCTTGTTTGATTTTAGATGCATTTTAATAGAAGCTTAAAGGATCAAGTAAAATTAAATATTATTACATAAAATAAAAATTATAAAATTGGATTAATAAAGATAAAAATAAGATTACTAAATAGTATTAAATTGTAATAAAAGTGAAACTAAATGCAAAGTAGCACATTTTAAATAGTCAGCCAGGACTGCTCTGTGTGACTGCTCTGTCCAGACAGCTATTTACCATGCCTTCAGCCTTCGTGCCACCCTCAGACTGTTAAAAGTTATTTGCTTCCATGTCATGGAGGAAAGGTTGCATTGTGTTTAAAACTGAGCTTTTTGGAACCTGGCATGAAATATAGCTCCCAAAATTATCATCTATTCCTGGGACCAATTCAGTAATTTCTAGTCTATTTGAAATACATGCCATCGAATGTGAATGGTTATATTTTCATTAGCTTTTAGCTTTTTATTTACTCTTTATAGCAAATTTCTTCTCCACAGATATTTGCAAATCCCCTTGTTTGTTCTAGCAGCTCTGACATGTTTACACTAATTCATCGCTGCACTTCCCTAGCAGAAATGAGATGCTGTGCTCTGCCCTGCACAGGTCTGCAGGAGGTATGTAGGCACTTCAGGATGGGAAGCTTGAGGCACTCATCAGCTAGATTTCAAAATGCAAAAAAAGAATTTGGTCCCTTAAAAAGGCTAAACATGGTGAAATGAAAACCAGCAGAAAGCAAATGCTATTTGAGTTGGTGTCCACCACACCCTCACATCTCATCATTGTCTGCTGTACAAGAAGATCTCTCTGAAAGAACCAAGGCATATTTACCCCTTCACACTTGAAGTATGTTTCTGTTCATCAGGATAATTAGAACCAAGGGCTTTAATAGCATCCCCCATATGCCTCTGACTAGGCTGAGTAAAGTTGCAGAAAAAGGAGGTTCCTGTACTGTATGATACAAAGGCAAGCAGAGAGGTCAACCAGAGGCAGACTTCAGGAGGAGGAAGAACGTGGCTATGATGAGCATGACAAAGATCACCTTTCAAGGTTGTGCTCCTCTTGGCTGATTTTCTTGACAAGCACATGCAAGCATTTGGCCCTACTGCACTCCATTATTTGTTTCTAATTGTGATTGTTATTAACCATGATCAGTTCATGAGCTACAAATGTAGAGCTGAATTTGTGCTAAATTCTGATCAGATCATTTGGCTCCCATTTGCAGGCATCCCCCTTCATAGGGCATAATGTTGGTTTGTTTGACAAAAGCTCGTTTGCACACCCACAAATGAGCACAGAGAGACAATGGCAGGAGGGGGAGCCCAAACAGCACCCTGCTGGGCTGCTCCCTGGCCCATCACAGTAGTCATCAGCCCACCAAACGCCCATCTCCTCACACCTTGAGGAGCACAGAGGGACAATGGCAGGTGGGAACCCAAATTATGGACTCACAGGAAGGGACACCCTGGGGGCACCTCCCAGGTGTGTCCCAGGAGAGCCTCAGCCTGAGGGTCAAGGGGAAAGCCCATCAAGATGAGTCAGGGGGAAAGGCTTTCAGACAATCTTTGTAACTGAGGGGGCTCGTTACTGCCTAGGGGTATGGGATCCATTATGAGATGCAGGAGAATAGCATTTGGGGATTGCACTATATTTATGTGATGTTTAGGGGAACAACCAATGTCAGGGAAAGGCGGGGGGATCTAGATGGCTTGGGGACAAACAAATGTGAGAAAATAGATAAAGAGATAAAAGGGGCTGGTAGCATGTAGACAGGCTGCTGATCAGTATGGTTGTCTGTCTTGTTCTGTGCAGTCTGTCCTGTCTTCTTGTTAAATTCCATTCTGGCACAAAGGATGCTCTGTTCTGGGTGCATGTGTTTTGTAATGGAGGTCTAAGTACCAGGAACTAGAGAGACTGGAGAGAGTGAAATCATCTGGAATGAGTGAGGGCATGTGAATGAGTGCATGACCACTAGCTGAAACACAGGTGAAGTGATCTTGGTGCCAGATGTGTGCCCCTGTGCGTGAGACCACAGGGTGAGTTGGCTACTGGAGGGATCGGGGGAGTCCCAGCCACTTGTCACAGAGGTCTGTGTGTGTGTGAGTGTGTGTGTATCTACGAGTGAGGGGTCTGCACCAGCAACTGCAGTGGGGCTGTGGCCTCGGGGGGCTGCTATGTCCAGGTGTCAGCAAGTGGGGAGACTGGGATCCAGGAGCAGCTACTGGTCAGGCTGTGTAGCCCTGCCACAGGAGGGATCCATGCTGCACATAGTGATCTCCATCATGCTCAAACAGAGATGGGAGCAGGATGAGGCTTTTGGCGCTGTTTGTGTGAGTGCTGAGTGTGTCTGTCTGTGCTGATCTGTGTGGCTGGCATGTATGTGCATATATGTATGTATATGTGTTGCGTATGGATGTTTATGTGTATGCATACTGGGAATACAAGCTCAGCAGCAGCCTCGCCTCTGTCGTGCTGCCAGGTTCACCCCTGCTAGCAGATAAGGGCACCTGAAGGTGTGCACCAGAGCTTCCCAGCAGCTCTGGAGACATCTGCACTCCCAGGCCTCAGCAGGCTTTCAGGGCCGGGCTGCCCAAGCTTTCTCTTAAATCCTGTCACAGCAGGCCCAGACAGGCTGAGCCCCTCATCCCCTCTAGCTGGGGAGTACAGCTGCAAGCAGCCCACCCTGAGCAAACACTTCTTTTATCACTGCATAAAGCCTAGGCACATCATTACTACCTTCTACCTGACCTTTGATCACCTTCTGGCCTCCCCATTTGACAGGAGTTTCTTTTCTTTCCGTGTTACGTCCTAAAGCTGTGGCAGACTGCTCAACCACCTGTCGGACCAGCCACCTCGAGTTCGGCAAAAGCCCGAGGGGGAGGTTTGGGGTGTGCTCAGATTCAAGTGAGAGGGGCAAGGCCTTAGCGGGCCTGCTCATGGGTTGCCCGCTCCTAGCATGGCTGGAGACCTCTTAGATTTGCTGTCCAAGCAAACCTTCTAGGGCTAGAAATATGTCTGTTAAACGGAAGTGCCTGATAGAGCTGTGAAAAGCCCAGTTGTCAGTCCTGGGTGCAGCAGCTGCAAGGTTTGGTTGTGGCTTAAAATCAACTACATTTGTATGCAGTCTCCCTTGAACAGGGAAGGGGTAAAGGGGAGAAGAAAGGGGCACTGCCAGCAAGTGCAAATCTAGAGAGGGCAGGTACGGGAAGGAATGGAGGGGTTGACTGTGGCCAGGGTGAGCTGAGGAATCGACGGAGGTAGTGGGAGGATGAAACTGGACTTCAGAGCAGAGCGGGAGCCTGCCCTGCATGCTGGGATCCAGTTGCCTCTTCCTGTAGAGGCATCCCCTGCTCCTTCCCTCCTTCTGCAACCCTTCACACTCAAAGGGGAGGGCTGGGGCACTCCTGCCACAGAGCTGATTGAGACAGTGATGCTGGAAAGGCAGGAGAGTTGCCACCACTCCGGAGCAGAAGCCTACAGTGCAGGTAGCAGTGCCATGCCTGTTTTATCTCTGTTTACCCCTAGGTCTTTTTCCTGTACTCTCAGCTGTGCATTAGTGAGCATAGTGCCATGTAAGTCTAGATAGACATCCTGGCACACCTTGCAGAACAGGCTGGATATGTACTGCAAAGACCTCCCCAGCCAAAGAGAGAGACCAACCTCAAGAAGTCTGGTGCTCAGCACATGCAACTTGACAGTCCCCAAGTTCGACAAACGACATTCAACCTTTGCTCTCAGTTCTGCCAGCCCACTGACAGTTTCCATGAAGTGTTAGACTGCAGAAAATATTAATATTATTCTGGCAGATGGTGGCATCAAATAGTTGAAGAACATTAACATCAAATAATTATTTGTCTGAAAGTCCACACCTGTTCTGTAATAGTAGAACTAAAGGCCTATAAAATTTATTTATTACTGTTTTTTTCCAGTTGAAATATTTCATCTACCTCAACAAGGGAAGAGAATGAGTAATATGTGATCTTGCATGCGCTGTAGTCATAAATACTGAATAATTATTGAAAATTCTTGGTCTAAACAGTTTCACAGTTACTAAGAAAGAAAGAAATATGCTGGGAGAAAATAACTCTTTAATATCTGTTAAATGCTTTTAAATGCAGTAATATGTGCTGAAGAGTTACAACATCACACACTGTGGTTGA